TGCTGCCGCAGCTTCGCTGTCCTTGCGCTCCTGAGACACCTCACGTGCGATTTCGTCCAAAACGGTTTCGACACGTCCGGTGCTGGCGACCTCCTCTTGGGCGGCACTTTTCTGGCGCGAATCCTCTCGCGCCTGGCGTAACTTGGCAACTTCTGCACGAAGTTGCTCGTTGTCCTCCATCACTGTAGCCATGCATGTGTTCATGGCGTTGAACTGCTCCCGAAGCTCGTTGAACTGAGCTTGGTCCATTTGGCTTGCCATTCCTTGTATCGTTATTCAGTGATTGAACACTTCGTTATTCATTTCCGCGCTACTCTGCTTGTTCATTCATAACACCTGGTTGCCAACAATCAAGTTATTGAAGCAACAAGAATCGGAGATGTGATACTCGAGTCCGGCGATACAGAAGTCTCGCTTTGCCTTAACAAGGTTCTCGTCGCTACGGGACTCAGCTTCAACTTATGATCACAAGCGCAGCTGATGGAAAGTGGCATTTGCTTCATCAACACTGCCAACACGATGCTCACGGAGCTGTACCGGGGCGAGAAGAAGGAAGACAAAAGCAATTTTGTCAGCATCGCAGAAATTAAAGACAGCGTTTTCGTTTTACGATTTTCACCTGTGAAGGCATCTGGTGATAGTGAGAAGAATGTCTCACTGGGAAACGGATCTTCAACGCTAAGACCATCGTGGTCTCAATGTCTTCTGCGTCACACCTCAGCCTTCTTGCACCAACTCCCTTGACAAACCTGCAGCAAAGCCAACAGAAGCAGCAGCAGAAACAGTTCAAATTACATGAGCATCTGAAGATGGAAATTGGGGTTACGACAATCAAGAACCGACATCTGCCATTGTCGAAGAACCTATGGAGGTTGAACGCACATGGGGTAAGAAAGAGTTGAACGTACCTGATGCTTGGGAGCGTCGCCAACACCTCGGCATACCTTGGGTTGAAACTGTAGAAGAAGCCAGGTTCATCCAACCTTTAGGCACCGGCCGCTACATTAACTCTGCACTAACTATTCATCTTTCGCTGGCCTTCTTCCTTCACTCCGACTTGTACCTGCGTTCAAAGAGGCACAGGACTACAGCAGAAATCTGGCACAAGCGGTTAGGACATCCCTCGAAAGAAGCTCTCAACAACCCGATTAAAGCCTCGGTTTTTGACAAGGACGCCCTCCTTTTAACCAACGGCCAGGACTTCGACCTAGTAGTCGTCAACTACCCTGTACCATCTGCCACGGAGCTCATCTAAGTCACGCTCTGTTCCCGTCGCACTTTCCAAGTGCTGCTAAATACTCACCTATGGATGTCGTTTTCAGCGACATACTCTTCATGTCGCAGGAAGCAGAAGATATCAGCGGCAACGACTACCGCTATATAATTACCTTCATCGACGGTGCTACTCGATATGTCCGGCACAAGAATATCTCTCACAAGTCTGAAGCTCTCGACGCCTTCAAACTATGGCTGAAAACTGCGGAGCGGCAGAGCGACATCAAGCTGAAAGAGATCCAGGCAGACAACGCGGGTGAGTACACCAGTGAGCAGTTTGATGAAATTATGGCGCGAAAAGGGATACTCAGGAGCAAGACTGTGCCTTACGCCCATCAACAGAATGGAGTAGTTGAGAGAACTAACAGGACACTGCAAGAGAAGATGCACGTGCTGCTGCAACAGACCAGCTTGGCAATAGACGTCTGGCCGTTTGCGATGGCGCAAGTTGTCCGCCTACACAACTGCTTGTCTTCAACAGCTCTTCCTCAGTTCAGCTCGCCACATTTCATGTGGACAAAACACCTCGTCGACACTTGACTGTTACAAGTTTGTGGCTGCATGGTCCAATACAGACCTCCGAGCGCAATTGTGGGCAGGTTTACTAAATGGGCTCGATGGGGAATACACATCGGTGTACCTAAAGATTCCTACTCTTGGATGAATATGGATTACGAAACATGTAAGGTTTTGTATGCACGAGACTGCATCTTCTACGAGAAGCTATTTCTCGATGAATTCGAACACGACAAGGAACACCAGCAGCGGGATCCTGATCGCTATAGTGCCAAACGGAGTTTCACCACTCCTCAAGACGAAGAAGATGCAGCCAAAGAATATTATCCGCCCGACAGCGCAGCAGCATGACCTACAGTTCCGCAGCAGTCTACGTCAGCATCCGAACCACTGTTCGACTGTTATATTCCTTTGACGCGTGCCAACAAAACCGAAACACCGCTCTTCATTCCCCTCTCAGACCCGTTGCGTCCTGCCACTAATAGGCTGCCTATAATTATGAGGAGCACCTGCGTTGATAGAAGATTGACGCAGCATTACATGACGGTGCCCGCCATCTGACATCCGAAATTGACGATGATGACGTCGTCGAAGTTTGCCAACCTCATCCTCGTGGTGACCAATCGACTCTTCAGATCCTCGGACTTGGTGTCGTAGTTCAGCAACCAGCGACCGCGATCGAGCCGAAAATAGTCAAGCAATTCCTCTCCGGCTCTGATGCTGACAAGTGGCAAGCAACTATGGATGCAGAGGTAGCAGCTCTCGAGAAGCGGAAAACGTGGAAACTCGTTCCACACGAAGCAGCACGCGGCAAGAAAAATATTTCGGGCAAGTGGCTCTTTCGCATAAAGACAAACGCAACAGGCGAACCAGACATATTCAAGGGGAGATGGGTTGTTCGAGGTTTCGAACAAACCCATGGCATTGATTGCGACCAGAATTTCGCTCTGGTCAGCCGTCATACCTCAGTTTGAATTCTTCTCGCCATTGCTGCTAGCCGCCACCTTCCACTTCGCCAACATGATGATAAAAATGCATTTTCATACGCAAACGCTGATGCAGATATTTTCGTCAAACTCCCTCACACTTACGGCGACGGACTCCACATCTGCAAATTACTTAAGTCACTCTACGGCATCAAACAGGCTCCTCGCATGTGGCAGCAGCATCTTCACAAAGTGTTGATTTCACTCGATTTCGTGCAGCTGCCCCACGATCTTGGAATATACATACTCGAATTTCGAGGGCATTACATTCTTCTAGTCGCCTACGTGGACAATTTACTGTACACCGGCTCGTGCAACAGTCTTCTGTCGAAAGAATCCAAACGATTCTTGAAGTTACTATTTCTCCAAACGTCACCCAATTTCTTGGGTTAAACGACGATTGCGGCCCAGATGCCATCTACCTTTCTGCAAGCAAGTATGCAGAAACACTTGCGGAAATGCTCGCCATCGCTCCAATCAGCCTCACCACTTTGTTTCGACATATTCCGGCTGATCACATACCAAACACTACCCAACTTACCGCCTTCGAGCATCAGCTTTACCACCAGCAGCTCAGGTGTCTTCTATTTGCAGCTGTTACATGCCGCCCAGATCTTGCCTACATCACGAGTCAGCTCTCACAGTACTTGAAGGGGAGAATATGGCCGATCTTCGTCGAGCCCTCCAATATTTCATTTCTACTCCTACAATTAGCATCAGCTACACGACAAACACTGCAGCAATTTTTTGACTGACTGGATATGTTGATGCGGATCACGCTGCTGAACCCGACAACAGGCGTTCGCGTACATGGTTCATCTTCAAACTTGAACCGGGTGGTGTCATTTATTGGAACTCAACGAAACAGTAAGTCATCGCAGTTTCGTCAGCGAAGCAGAATTCGTCGCAACAAGCTCTGCAGTTCGCGAAGGACTCTATCTTCAAGAGTTACTTTAAGAGGTGAAAATCGCAACGACATGTAACTTCAAGTTACTCTGCGACAACCAGAGCGCAATCAAGATTGCAAACAAGCCCGGTTTCGTTAACATGACAAAACGCATCGCCCTCCGTTACTTCTTCATCAAGGACGGAATCGGCAAAGGGAAGGTCATCATAAAATACTGCCCTACAGAAGAAATGACAGCTGATGTCCCGACGAAGAAACTCCCACACGGCAAGTTTCAGTACTGCTCCAACCTGGTTGGAATCTGCAAACGCGGCGACACTTACCCAGAAACATACACTTAGGAATGAAGGGGAGTATTGAAGTATACTCGGCAGAGTTTACCTATGCATTCCTGATATAATTTATATTGTACAAGTAGCGCGATACCTCATATAGAAGGACGCGCGTAATGACATGAGCAGTAGCGAGTCAACGCGTGAACAGTAGGTTCGCACGTCTAGTCCCCCGAAGAGTCATGCTATTCTCAGTCACACGAACAGTAACTAGTCATGTCACGCAAATAGTCGCATTACACTACGAACAGGTACATTCTGAATAGGTACTTCCTAGACTATAAATATGTCTGTATTACTCATTATTATCATCCTTGTCATTTCTATCATTTCCCATACAAGGTGTAGAGTCTTCCGCTGACTTTTACTCGTGATTCCACCAACTCTAGATCCTGGCCACCATAAACACGTGGTTCACTTCTACATTGTTTTGCTTTAACAAGGTCAATCAAAGACTTCATTGTCATCAGAAACACGTTGAATTGCAAAACATGCTATCGGACCTTCGTCACCACGACAGGAGCAACCACCACATAAAATTGGGAATGAACTACCTTGAGAGTATATGACTACCTAGGATTATGTACGTTGCAGGCTCTATTTCATGTTACGTTTTATCTATTGCTTGAATCTGCAACTTCCCTTCCCGATTCGAAGTGAGGGATGTCCATAGATGGCAACGTAGTGGGAGAGCTTGTAGTGTTGTTGGATGCCTGTTTCTTACTGTATCGTTCTCGTTTTTGTTTTTTAAAATGCTTAGTTATTTCGGATGGCTACGCACAGATGTAATGGAAGAAATGGAAGAATATAAAATGGAAGGATTTTATCACGTGATCCCAACCTAGTAAAATTCGCCTAGATTGTCTAACCATAACGTGCATGAACAGGTCTATATAGTGGACAATGGTCCCACCAAGAATGTTTCATCCGCGGCAGCCTCAAGGTGACGCTTTCTCAGGACCATCCTCCTCTCTGGATTTCCCTAGAGCTCGCTTTGGATCACCCTCCTGCTCGCTGCGAGGAGCCCAGCAGCCTCTGGGACTCATGACGCAGACTTTTCCGTGATAGTCGCCCAACGCATCAGTTGTGTAGATCGTGTACGCTTGATGATGATGTACCTCTAGACCCCTACCGGCCTGCTGCTGCCACTGAGGCGTATCGTTCTCGTTGCTGATTACCCCTCGCTCCGAAGCCCATCGTCACGAGGCTCGCCCATCGTCGCAGGCGGTCGCAGGCGGCCATGGCGGGCACGCAAGCGACGGGCAGCTCGCACGTGTTCGCGCTGCTGCAGGAGCTGGGCAACCGCGTCGCGCCATCCGCCACCGCCACCGCCACCGCCACCGCTACGGCGGCCACGGCAGGCGCGAGTCAGGCGGGCGAGGGCGAGGAGGCGGCGGCTGTGGAGCGGCGGTTCCGGGAGGTGCTGCCGACGCTCGTGCGCAAGCACCTCGTCCCGCGCATCGGTGCGCGCACCAACCATCCCACGATGCCTGTCGCCGCGATTACCGCGTCCCGTGTCCCGCTCCTGGTAGTTTACCCAGATTCGCGTTACCAACTCTGTGTGTCGCTAATGGCCGTGTCGCTGGCTTTCCCTTCCTTTCCGTCCTCGCCGTTCCTTTGTGTTTCTGCGCGTGGCAGAGCGCGATCGCGAGGTGCTGGCGATTCTGAAGCTGCTCATGCACATCGCGAGGAACTACCCCGGCACCTTCCTGCACGGCCACGCGCGCACCACGCTCCCCTTCATCGCGCGCGTGCTCGTGCTGTTAGGCGAGGCGCCGCTCAGGTAAAATAGTCCCCTTGCCGCGCTCCAGTCTGCCTTACTCTACAAGTTGATGTCCGGTTTCGTGAGATTTCAGCAGCTCAACTCAGTTGATCTGCCGACCTAGGTTGCGCAATATCCGGTGTGGGAATGGTGTGAACTGTGTTGCACGTGCGGCGTGGGTGGCGCGAGTGCAGGTCGCGCGTGGCGTGCATCGTGGACGTGGTGTGGGCGCTGGCCGCCCTCATGCACGGGAGCGACGACCACGCGTTCATCCACTTGGTCGCTGACATCGTCACGCTCATTCAAGGTGAGCCAGCGCATGCCACCCCGTGACGAGGTGAGCATGTGACGAGGTGAGAGGCGAGATTGCCCGGACTGCCCAGATTGCCCAGATTTTCCCTGGACTGCCCCAGTATCCAATTTCTGACTGTTAGATGCTTGCTTTTTCGTGGCGCTTTCAGATGCTCAACTTCTCCTCCTCTGTTCCTCTCTCCACCCCCTGCATCGTTCCCATTGGCAGACGCGGCTGCGGTGGCCATGCAGCTGGGCAGCAAGCAGCCGTGTGGGCAGCCCACGCACGGACAGGGATCAGTGCCCACTGCACCACTGCATGCACTGCGCATGTCATTCCACCAAGCTGCATCGTCGCCCCTCTCACTCCAAAGTCACCACCGGCAGGAGCAGCAGCAGCCTGCCTGTTTGCTGCCAGACCTGCCTCCCGAGTGGCAGCCCAGGGAGGAGCAGGGCTGTGGCGTGCTGGTGAACGTGGGTGGTGCCGACCAGTGGCAGGCTGTTGCTGAGTTCGGTGCGCTCTTCCTCTCACGCCTTGTGCGGGACCACGCTGCTGTCCACAGCACAAGGAATCTCAGCAGCAGCGGCAGCAGCAGCGGCATGGGCGCATTCAGGCGCCTTGTCACGGCGGACTGTTTTTCAGCGCTGGGTGCTTTCCTGTGCTTTGGAAGCGCCAAGCTTCACAAGGTGCGGGGCGCAAGGTGCGGGGTGCAAGGTGCGGGGCGCAAGGTGCGGGGTGCAAGGGTTCCTTAAAGCCCAGGTACCAAATTAGTCAGGCAGCATCAAACTGGGCCCAGTTTGATGCTGACCGTACTCGCGAACTACCCAAGAAAAAAATATTAATAAACTGTACCTTCGCCACAGTGAGAGGCAAAATCGAGGTTGGAGTTTCTACGGTGGAAATAAACTTTGCAAACTGGGCCCAGTTTGATTCGTGCAGTTTCCACTGTTAGATCGGGCTTGCCAAACCCAACGCCCGTCAAACCCTGCTCTCGCCAGGTTTCCTTCCAATCAACGGTTGTAAGTGTGCATACACATTGGGACTTCATGTGTCCCTGCATCTCAGCCGTCAGATCCGCTTGTGGGCCATCTTGAACTCACCACAAATCAAACTGTGCCCACCTTGCATACGAACCCTGTGCGAAGTAACAGAATCACGATTTTTTGCACCCAATAAAACGATTGTTATGTTTTTTACCCAACCAGCCCAAATTCTGCCCGTTGACTTGCGTGAAATAATTTGGGATCTGGGCTTTAATCATGTCGTTTGCTGCAATTCGTTTTTGCGATTTTGCTGCATTTTGTGTCAATTCGTGCGCTGTGCAATTGCCAACTCTCCTTCGCCAACTCCTCCAGGCGTGCTTCTCTGCGCTGCGGGACCTGATCAGCGCATGCAGCGCGCCTCCCCTGTGCGCGGACGAGCTGCTGCTGTCGCTCCTCACCATCGTCGCCACCACCTCGTCCGGCCCTTGCCTCCCTGCCTTCAGGTCTGCATTCCCCACTCTTTGTTGCACGCGCTACTTCCTGCTGTTACCACGTGACCAGCTGTGCTTCACATGCATGTGCGCCGGTGCATGCATTTGCTTTGCCCTGTCGACAGGTGCTCATGCCCATGCATGAGCCCCAGTGGACTGCTCCCCTCCCTCCCCCACCCCCCCCTTTCAGGACGGGCTGCTACGACCAGTCTTTGGCGGAGTGCCTTCACGCCCTCGCCTCTGCTGCCTCTCACGGCACCCTGCACGTGGCGGCGCCGCTGCTGCTCTCGCTCTTCCCACATGCGCTGCTGCACACCACCTGTGTGCCCCTGCAGGTGCGCCTTCACCCCCTCAGCTTGCTCAGAGATGTCTCCGGGGCATCATGTTGGGAATGTTCTTGGGTGTCGCTTTTGTTCCTGTCGCTTTTGTGTCAACGTTTCCTCTGCTTTCTACCTCTTGTGCGCGTCAGGCCCCGCCCCTCTCTCTCTTCTCCCATCCCACCCCCAGCGATATTTTCTCACTCTCTCCCACCGTCTCCACCCCCCGCCACTCCCTTCCACGTGGCCCGTGCCCTCCCTCCTCTTTGGCGATTCGCCTTGCAGGTGTCTCTCCTCAGCTGTCTCCACCGCACCATTCTCGTCATCCTGCCCTCACCTGCCGCCTGCTCGACTGCACCAAGGGCGCCCGTGGACGCCACCTGTGCCCACTTTCATCGCCTCCTGCTGCACCTGCTCCCGCTCCTCTCCTCTCCGCCTCCAGTCAGCACCCCCCTCGCAGCCTGCCTGTCTGTGCTGCTGCGCCGCCTCCGTGTGTTCCTGCATAAGGTGAATCTGCAGGGCCATTCCAAAGGGGCTCACACAGCTGCTGCGGAGCAGTCTGGAAGAGGGGATGAAGGCAGAGTGGCGTTGGGCGATGAGGAGGGTGGGGCAGCAGAGGGTGAGGTGAAAGGGAAGAGAAAGAGAGGTGCGGGCAGTGGGATGGGGAGGAAAGGGGTGGAGGATGAAACGGGCGGCGAGGAAGGTGAAGGGCGGGAGGTAGGGGTCAGGCAGGGGAGGGGAAGCGGCAAGAAGAGGCGGGGTGTGAAGGGCGCAGTGAGCAGGAGACGAGCATCGGGGGCTGGATTGGCGGTGGGGGCTGGATTGGCAGTGGAGGCAGAGGAGATCGAGGGCGAGGAAGGGGTGAACCCAGCAGCGGCAGGAGGGGACATGGGAGAGCGTGTGGGAGCAGCAGGAGCAGCAGCGGCAAGAGCTGCAGAGAGAGAGGCAGGGGCTAGTTGTGAAGGAGGTGAGAGGCGTGGCATGTGGTTCCGTGGGGCGCTGGTGGGGGAGGACGAGGTGGCCAGGCAGGCACAGCAGGTGCGGCGTGCTGCAGCGCATGGGGGACGCGAAGGGCAGCTGCTGACAGCGGTGCTGGGGAGAGTGAGAGAGTTGTGGCCGCCAGAGGCTGCTGCGGTGATTGCTGAGCAGACACAAGCGGGCAATGCTGGTGGCGGGGGCGTGAAGGGAGGCAGAGGCCACATGCCGGCGGAGGGCTCGCCTGTGGCAGCGTGCCCAGCAGACTCGAGTGCAGATGCGTTGAAGCGGCTGAGGGGTCTGAGCGCCCTGTGCTCTGTGTTCCAGGCGCTGCCTGCCACCCTGTGCTGGTGGGCCACGGCCAACGCTCTGGGCGCGTGGATGGCATGGGCGAATGCTCACCTCACTGCACACGTCTCCTCCCCCGCTACTCGCACCGCAGAGCACGTGAGCAGCGACGTGAGTCGATGGCATGTAGCACAGGCGCTGATTGACAGCGCTGCTCGCTTCCTTGCTGCGCCGTGCCAGACCACCTGTGGTCTCGCGCAGGAAAGTGCTGCTGTTCCTCCAGTCACCGTGCGCCCCTTCCACTCCTCTGCTCGTTTGCTGCTCGCACATGCTTGTGCTTGTGAGCACGGGGGCAGTAGCAGCTTCGTCCTGAGTCTGTGTCAAATCATTCTACTGCCGTGGACTCTTGGGGGCAAACTCGGCTGTGAGAAGGGCAGCTTGGAAGGCGGGCAGGGGAGTGTGGGAGCGGTGGAAGTAAGCAAAGGGAGTTCGCTGAGAGTGTCAGGTGCAGTGCTGTGGCAGCTGGTGGATGGGCTTCAGAGCAAGCCACACCTTGCAGCACAGAGCGACGAGAAGAGGGAGAGGGGGGGGGAGGGAGAGCAGTCGCTGTGTGGTGTGACGAAGCAAGGAGATGCAGCACATGGCGCGCTGCTAGGAGAATGGGCCGCGGACGTGGTTAATGCTCTGGTGAAGATGCTACAAGCGGCGATGGCGGATGACCATGCAGGCGTGCGTTGTGCAGCAGTTGAGCAGCTTCCGTTGCTGCTGTGGGCGATGAGGGGGGTGCCATGCCGTGCCACTCATGCCACTGCTGCTGGAACAGGGACGCATGGCAAGGGGGTAGAGGGAAGCGGTGGTGGTAGTGCGTGTGCGGGGTGGAACCGGGACTGGGTGGTGCCGCTGCTCAGGTGAGGCGTGCAGCAACATCATTCCACTGTGCCCGCTTCATACACACTCGCGCACTTGCATTTGCTGCTTCCTTCGTGCCTTGTGACTCTTTCTCCACCCTCTAACGCCACGCCATGTGATGCTTCTCTGCATGTGTTCACGCGCGCACGCGTGTGTGTGTGTGTGCGTGTGTGTGTGTGTGCATGTGCGGATGCATGTGTGCGTGCATGTGTGCGTGCATGTGCGCGTGCATGTGTGCGTGCATGTGTGCGTGCATGTGGGCGTGCATGTGCGCATGCATGTGTGCGTGCATGTGTGCGTGCATGTGTGCGTGCATGTGTGCGTGCATGTGTGCATGCATGTGTGCGTGCATGTGTGCGTGCATGTGTGCGTGCATGTGTGCGTGCATGTGCGCGTGCATGTGTGCGTGCATGTGTGCGTGCATGAGTGCGTGCATGTGCGCGTGCATGTGGGCGTGCATGTGTGCGTGCATGTGCGCGTGCATGTGCATGTGCATGTGCACGTGCATGTGTGCGTGCATGTGTGCGTGCATGTCTGTGTGGCCGCACCTCTCTCCAGGAGCCTATCAGCAGACACCAGTGAGGCGGTGCAGCTCGCATGTGCGCGCACCTTGGGGCCACTCCTCTGCGCCCTCGCTCCCTCCCCCCTGCCGCTGCTGCCCTATCGTCCCTCCCCTGCCTCCTCCCCTGCCTCGCTCCCCATGTGCCCCGTCTGTTCTTGCGTCCTCAACACCCAACCGAGCGTCATGGCCACCCGTGCTCAACCCCAATCACCGGCCGATGGGCCTGGCTGTGTGCCGTGCAGCCCTGGTCCGCGCAGCACCGCGGGCCCTGCAGCACTGCAGGAGGCGCGGGCAGACGCCATCAGCCGCTGCGCCACTCCCCACCGCAGGCTGCCCGTCCCTCCGCGTGACCTGGCTGCCATCATCCCGTGCTTCGCTCGCCTCCACAGCCCCCCCGCTGTCAAGGCCGCCTTTGCGGCCTCGCTGCCCGCCATTCTCCTGCACGCCTCGCCGTCCGACCTGGTGGCCCTGAGGCCCACCGTCCTCGCGTCCCTCAACTCGCTCTCCTCCCAGCCCGACTGCTGTGTGCGCTGGGCCTTCCGCCCCATCATTCGCTGCTTCTTCCTGCCACCTGTCGTCATGCCACTAACCGGAGGCAACATCGGGGGAGTGGAGCGAGTGGGGGAGAAGGGAATGGGCGGAGGGGAGGGGGGTGGGGTGGAGTGGGGAGAGGGCGGGTGGAGTGAGGAGGAGCGGCAGGAGGCGGCGCTGAAGCTGCTGAAGAAGTTCAAGGGGCGGCTGCAGAGCGGCGATGACGACGTGCGGCGCAAGGAGGCGGTGCTGGGGGCCGTGGGGGAGATAGTGGCGTGTGCCGCCTCGGACCACCAGCTGCTTTTCTTCTCCTTCATCCTCCTCGTACCATCCCTCGCTGCCTGCTCGTGCACTCTTTCGCGCTTCTCCCTCCTCCTTTCCTGTCTCGCATATTCCTTTCTCTCAAGCGGTCCGTTTATTGCTTGGAAAACTGGGTACAGGCTAGGCAAGGCAGGCAAGGGGCAGCAAGGCAAGGTACGTGCATGTTTGGGGGCTCGAAACTACACGAGCTCCCCTAGGGGCTCTGCTATGGCAAAGCAGTCCCCGGGTGCCATGTCGGCGTCAGGGGTGCCTACTGGGGTGTGGGGGGCAGGGGAGGCTTCATTAACTTTCCCCAGGTAAGCCAGGGCCTGTGCCCGCTGCAGCGTTACTGACCAGCGTTGGCGAAACTGGTGGAGCAATTTTGCGGCCTGGTAGGAGCTGGGGTCCGCATTGAAAAGTCTCCTGGCCCCTGTGTCAGCCAGCAGCTTCAAGAAGGTAGGGACCTCGGCGCATGGGCAGCCGTATGTCTCGACTGCAAGTGGGAAAAATCCGACATACGGAGCCCGATTCCGGTAATGGGAGATTTTCTTGTCAGCTTGCTCCCGGGCCATGTATCCGCGTCCTTTTCTTGCGTCCGGGTCCCGGCTGCTGATGGGATCTGTGACAGTGACGTCACAGATCCAGACGGCTCCGGAACTGCGGTCTCGGAGGGCGAGGTCGGCCTTGTGGCCGTCTACGGGGCTGTAGATGGTGGTCTCCTTGGTGACTATAAAGTCAGCATCCCGGGCCATCCGTATGCTCTCGTCCCGCAGGGCATTATGGGTGTCAGTCCGACCGTGCCCAGTGCCACACCGGAGCAGGTGGTTGGGCAGCCTAGTGTCGAGGATTTCAAATTCCTCGGCGCAGTTGCAAGTGCGGGGGGCTGGGAATGGAAGGCCGAGGCGGAAGGCCAGGGCAATGGCGAAGTGTGGAGCTTCGAGGCGGAGTGATGGGAAGATGGGGATGGCATGAAGCCAGTCCCCTGCTCCATATCCAGCCAGGGAAAAGAGGCGTTGGGTGTGCCCAGAGAGTGGGTTTGGGTCCATTGTCCGCGTGGCTGCCACCTGGCCGGCGTATCGCACGGCCTGGACTTCGAGGGATAAGCGGTGTTGGAGTGGGGAGCCGGAGGGTTCCCTCCTCTCGGAGTGCAGGAGCTCCCGGGCTCGTGGGGGCATCGCCGTTTCACACTTCGCCAGCCAGGTATGCAAGTGGGTGGGGCTGGTGAAAGGTGGCGTGAGGTGCCGGACAGCGTCAGCCAGGGGCCCTCCTGACGCTGCTGGGAGGGCAGCCAAGAGGCCCTGGGCTTGGGTGAGGCTGGTGAGGTAGGCTGGGTGTCCCTCAATTGCGGGGTCGGTTAGACCCAGTCCTCCAAGGGAGGGAGGGAGGGACGCTTGAGCCCAAGTGCGCGCCTGCTCCACCTCCCCTCGAGGCGGTTGGAGGTTGCAGGCACGCAGGAGGGTATGGAAGAGCTCCCTACCCCAGTCGGACCAGACGTCCAAGGGTAGGAAGTCAAGGGGGGTGGTGCGGGTTAAGTATGAGACACGCCGGGACACGCAGCGTGTGAGGAGGAGGGATGAGGACTGAGGGTCCATTGTGGCCAGTGTGGCGAGGGGTTCGGCTAGCAGGGCTAGCTGGGTGCGGAGGAAAGCGGCTGTGCCCTCGGCTGTGCCTATAAAGCTGCCAAGCACGCGGACGCCTTCAGTGTTGAAAGGTATGTCTGGGGGAAGGCGGTCGGGTGCAGGGCGCTCGGCTGACCATGCTGCGCATTTCGCGGGGTTGTGGGAGAGACCGATGTGGTCCATGGCGGCTGTGAAGGTGAGGAATGCCGAGGTGCAGGCGTCCGGGTTGCCGACGAAAGTGACGTCGTCAGCGTATGCGAGGCAAAGGACCTCGGGGTGGGCCGCGGCGGTTGCCTGGAGGGCTGGGTGGATGGCTGCTGCGAAGAGGAGGGGGCCCATGGGATCCCCTTGGCGAACTCCCCGTGCGCTGAGTAGGGGCGGGCTATCAAACTCAGCGTCGAGATAGAGCAGGGACGGCGCGCCATACGAGAATTGGATAAATGGAAGGAGCGGGCGGAGGGGCGAGGTGTTGATTGCGTGGATGATTGCCCCACGGTCAACGCTATTAAAGGCGTTCGAGAGGTCGACTTGTAGGATGAGTGAGCCCGGGCGCGCAGAGGTAAAGCCCCTGGTGGCGTGGATGATTGTTTCCCCGCCGCTCCTGATGGCTACCCCGTATTGGTGTGGTAGGAAGTAGTCTTGCGCGGATTGCGTGGAGGAGATTAGCGCGGCTTTTGCCGCCAGTCGATGGAGACACTCCCCTATTGCGATGGGGCGGGTACCCCCATCTGGCTTGGTAAGGGCCAGGAGGCGTGAGGAGGTAACGAGCTGGCTGACCTCGTGCGGCAGGTTACCCGCCAGTAACCGCTGGACGAGCTTGTGGAGGTTTGTGGCGACGGTGGGGTTGGACAGCGAGGCGTCGCGAAGGTGCTCGAAGGTCATCCCCGAGGGGCCTGCCCCAACTCCATTTTCGGAGCGGGCGAGGAGCTTCGCGAACGTAGCGAAATCGACTGTCGGCGGCCTGCAGTTTTCGTCAAGCCGTGGCCAGGTGAGGCTTTCGACAAGCGGAGGGGGGTGTTTTGACTTCAGCGCGTCCAGGACCGTGGGGGTGGACTTGCTGACTGGGGTCGAAGTCAACGCGAGCAGTGCCCGTCACAAACTGCCTCGTCGTACCAAGCCCTCGGCGCGGGATATTTTCCCGAGAGTGTCAGGTACGTGGCGGGGAGGGGGTGGCAGGGTGACAGCAGAGGCAGCAGCTTGATACAGTGTGTCCCACTGGCCCGCGAGAAATTGTCGAAGTCGTCGTTCCGTCGCGGGCCAGTCAGGGCGTCGAGGCGAGGGTAGGCGAAGTGTGAGGCGCGGGAGGTAAAGTAACAGGGTCTCTCTCTCTCTCTCAGTTGTTCTTGTGTTGTTGCAACCACTCTTCCCTCTCATGTGCTGCATTGCTTCCTAGGCCGTTCCTTCCCCCTTTCGCCATACTCATTGCCTCTTATTTCTCCCTAACCACTGCATCGCCCTGCAGCGCATGCATGTGAGCCGTGTCTGCACCCTGAATCACTCGCCAATCACGCACATGGTTCCCCCCATCCACCTCCTCGTCCTACCCTCCGCCTCCCTCCCACTCTCTGTCCTCTCTGTCCTCTCTGTCCTCTCCGTCCTCTCCGTCCTCTCCGTCCTCTCCCCTCCCTCGCACATCTCGCTCTGGCAGGTGGAGCAGCTGGACGCCTTGCACGTGTCCCTGCAGGCCACTGCTGCCACCACTCTGCGCTCCTCCTGCCACCGACTCCTGCACCACCACTGCGCGCCCGCGCCTCATAGCGCACCGCACACCCATCGAGCTGACCTGCCATTCGCGTCGTTGCCGTGCACGGCAGGCGCAGCGCAGGAGGCAGCAGCAGGCAGTGGTGGCGTGGGGGAGGGCGCGGTGGCAGGGGTGTGGGCGGTGGTGCAGCGCATCCAGGACGACTTGTTTGACTACCTCTCCGCCCGCCTCGTCACACGCCCACGCCTCGTGCACGCCTTTGCACACGATGTGCTGGGGTGGGACGTGGAGCAGCTTGTGAAGAGGATGCTGCCGGTGGTGCTGCCCACTAAGGTGATGGAAGCTGCAGTGGAGGAGGCGGGAGGCGGGTCGCCGCAGCACGCACATGCAGATGGCACGCAGCCCAAGGTGAGAATAGTACAGTTCAAGCGCCATGCGCTCATGAATTCCATGGGTCATGCATTCGTCGTTGCCTCGTGTCTCTTCACACTGCTGCTCATCCCCTGTGCAGGCGCTGGCAGTGCTGCAGGCGATAGCGAGGGCGGAGGGCACGGAGCTGGCGCTGCTGCTGATGATGTGGGCGCACAAGATCCTCGCGCGCCTGCTGCTGTGCACCGACAGCCACAGCCTGCTGCTGCTGCTGCACTTCTACGGCGCGCACACGGGGTTGTCGCCGCAGGACGTGTTTGGCGGCATCACGGGGCCGCTGCTGGAGGAGATGTGCTGGTTCCTGGGGGATGACACCTCCGACCTCGCTCTCAAGCGGTGCGCACAAGCTGTTGGGGAATACGCTGTTGAGAGTCCCTCCCCCATACGACCACCCTCCCACCTGCTGTCACTCACATGCATGCACGGTTGAGACGCATTTTCTGACTTGCCACTGCCCAAGCTGTCTTCACAGCCATCGCCTTCCGCTTTCCAAGTACCATTTTCCCGCACTCGCCATTCTTCCACTCTTTTGTTTCCCCCCACGTCCAATCTGAGCTGCGCCCAACTCCCTGCCCCCTGGTGTGTGTGCTACTACGCCTAAGCAGCGCGAGCCGGGTGTTCCCCACAGTGCAGGAGCTGGTGGCGCTCATCAGGGGCGGGCACCCCACGGCTGAGAGCGCGGCGGCGTTTCTGGGCGCGCACCTCATGCGCATCCTCAACGCGCTCGACCGCACGCGCTTGCGCCACCGCGCCAACCCGCTCGACCAGGCGCAGGCCCTCCGGGTCATCGGGCAGCTCGCAAAACTTTCTGGTCCCAAGCGCCTGCCTGCGTTTGCTCCAAAGATGTTTGCGCTGCTGTCGACTGGCGTGGAGCAGGGGCAGGACGAGAGTGTGCGCAGTGTGGGGCTGGACGTGTGGCTGGGGTTCGTGCACACGCTCGCACAGGACGCCCCTGCCGTGCTGAGGGGCATGTGCCGCCAGATAGCAGTGGCGCTGCTGCCGTGCCTGGAAGGGCCTGAGGTGCCCTCAGGGGATGAGTGGCCGGGCGGGAGGGCCCATAAGGCGGATGATGATGAAGACGAGGGCCGGGATGTGGACCAGGGGAAGGCAAAGGGTGTGCCTGGGAAAAGGCGAGGGAGGAAGGCGAGCAGGAGTGGTGAGGGCACGAGTGGTGTGGCGAGGGGGGGGGGTTGGGAGAAGGAGGTGAAGGAGCTGGCGATGACGCAGCGAGCAGTGCGTGCGGCCCAGGGCGAGGACATGTTCCGCCCGCACCTGCATAAGGCTGCGGCCGTGCTGCGCGCGCTCGTCATTGACAGTGCCGCCATCCTGGGCACTCAGGTGCGCGCGCTGCCGCTGCTGCCGGATCTGGAGGCGCTGCGAGACGTGAACGCCGCCATCCAGGAGGCCAGGGGGCGACTGGGCTTCCGGGACAAGCTGCACCTCACAGCAGCGGGCCTGGGGCACGAGTCAATCAGCGTGCGCCACGTGGCAGCAGAGGGCATGAAGCAGCTGCTGCAAGAGCACCGGGGCGAGGTGGCGGGCATGCTGGTGAGCGAGGGCGAGGTGGACAGGGAGGCACTGTGTGCGGCGGTGGCAGCGCTGCTGGCAGGGAGTGCGGAGGAGTCCAAGACCGTCACGAGCCACCTGCTCAAGCTCGCCTGCGCCGAGTGCCTGGGCGAGCTGGGGGCGGTTGACCCCGCGAGGCTATCGGCGCCTGGGGGCGCTAGGGCCACCGCGCTGCAGCAGCAGGGCATGGGGCAGGGGTGTGCGTCGGGTGGTGCGCTGGTGGGTGCATGTGATGACGAGGAGCTGGCGGCGGATCTTATCTCGGAGCATCTGGCGCGCGTGGTGCGCGGTGCCACCGACTCCGACGTGCAGGACGCTGCCGCGTGCGCCATCCAGGAGATGCTCCGACTGTTTGGGTGCCGCCCCAGCCGAGAGGAGGAGCAGGCGCACGAGGGAGACGAGGGGGCGAGGCGAGGGGATGGAGGGACGGCAGAGGCAGGGGCAAAAGGGCAGGGTGGAGGAGGAACAGGGAATGCAGGGTGGAGTGAGATGGGGGTGAGGTTGTGGGAGCGGCTGAGGGGCGAAGTGAGGGAGGTGATTACGCCGTGCCTCACCTCTCAATTCAGCCTGCAGCGCCTGCCAGCACAGCCATCCGGCAGGAGGCGAGCACGGCACCAACAGCGGCAGCAGCAGCAGCAGCAGCAAGGCTTTCCGACAACATCAAGTGTGAGTGTTCGAGGGGGGGATGTTAGCTGTCCCGATTTCTCCGACGCCGTGTTTCGGCCGGGGGTGGTGTTCCGGCGGTGGCTGTACAAGTGGATGCGGCGCATGGTGGAGCGCGCACGCGGCTTCAGAGCCGGCATCTTTGCCGCGTGCACCGGCATCCTGCAGTTCGACGCGCCCACCGCACTCTTCCTCCTCCCACACCTCACGCTCAACCTGCTCTGCTTCGGCAGTGACGAAGCTAGAGAGGAGGTTCGGGATGAAATCCTGGCTGTCATGACCTGGGCCTTGAGGCCAGCAGGTGGAGAAAGGCAGGGAACATCTTTTCCTGCTGCTGGCGCCGCTGCTGATAGCCGTGGTACGTCTGCTTCAGGTTCACTGGATGGCATTGCAGCAAGCAAGGGCGATGCGATGGTGGTGCAGGCCGTGTTCTCGCTGCTCGACTGGCTGCACTCGTGGGTGCAGCAGGCGAGCAGCGTTGTGGAGCAGGTCAAGATGGCAGTCGTCTCAGGCAAACCCCCTCCCTCTGACGTCCTCTCCTCCCCTCTCCTCGCCTTCCTCGCCCTCCTCCCTCCCTCTCCGTCACCTGCCGCCGCCGCTACTGCTGGTGCCGCAGACACGGGGCCAGCAGGGCGAGCAGCAGCAGCAGCGGTCCCAGGGAAGGCAGCCAAGTTCGTGTGCTGTGCGGCGCAGGTGCAGCATGCGGAGGATGTGTGTGGGCGGGTGCGGTGGGTGGTGGAGCGGCAGGTGAGCAAGGAGGTGCTGGCGCACGTGGCCCTGCGCTGCCAGGCGTACTCGCGCGCGTTCAGGTACCATGAGGCCAGTGTGAGGGAGAGGTGCGGCACTCTCAACCCCGCTGCCGCTGGGGGCGGTGCCAAGCCCACTCTGCCATGCGAGGATGGGGGGCAGATCAACGATGGTAGTGCAGCACATGGGCGGAGGGAAGAGCAGAGGCAGGGAGGGGTGTTCCAAGATGCTGACGTGTCGCTGCTGGTGGAGATCTATCGGTCACTGGAGGAGCCAGATGGCGTGCGCGGGTTGGTCTGCCTGCGTGGGGCAGTGCGGGCAGGGGAGGCGAGTGGGGTGAGGGTGAGGGATGAGATGGTGATGTGCGAGCAGGAGGGGCGGTGGGGGGACGCGCTCACACTGTATGAGGAGGCTCTGGGGGAGGCTGCTGCACGGGGTGCTGCTGCACGGGGTGGTGGATGGAGATGGGGAGATGAGAGGGCTGTGTGTGTGGAGGGTGGGAGCACAGGGTTGCAGGCGAAGCAGGCAAGGGGGGAGGGGGAAGAGCAGCAGAAGCAGGGGGGAGAGGATGAGAAACGGGTGGCAGAAGGTGTGTGTGGTGAGGGAGCAGAGGGAGAGCAGCAGCAGCAGCAGGCGTGCATGAGCGAGTCACTGCACAAGGGTCTGTTGGAGTGTCTGCTGAGCATGGGGCACCTCCGTGTGGCCATCACCCACGTGGATGGGCTGCTGCTGCGCTACCCCCTCAGCGCGCCCACGTGGGCGGCCACGGGCGTGCAGGCGACGTGGCGCCTGGGCAGCTGGGACCTGCTGCACGACTATGTGGTCGCCGCGCACGCCACGCCTCACCCTCACCCCGCGCGGCCACCAGGAGCACTAGGCATCACCGGGCTGCTCGCTGGAAAGGGTGAGAGCTCGGGGGCGAAGCAGGCAGCGTGGGGTGGGGGAGGTGCGGTGAGCGCGGGCGGTGGGGGGTGGCAGGACGAGTTTCAGCTGGGGCTGGGCCGCTTGGGCTTGGCGCTGCGCTCAGGGGACTTGGCGAAGTGCCATGAGGAGGTGGGTCGCACGCGCGCATGCCTGCTGTCGCCGCTGGCTGCTGCTGCTATGGAGTCGTACGACCGCGCCTACCCCGTGCTCGTCAACCTGCACGCCCTGCACGAGATCGAGGCCTGCATACCCGTTATAAGCACTTGCATGAAAGCACCAGGGGGAGGGAGGTCTGGAGCAGCTTTACAAGCAGGAGCAGCAGCAGCAGCAGCAGCAAGGGATGCTCTAGGAATGAACTACAATGTACAAGAATTCAGAGCACAGATGAAAGAGAGGCTTCAGGCGTGGCCGAGCCGACTGCATGCGACCCAACCAAGCTTCAAGGTTCGGGAGCTGGTCCTTGCGGTTCGGCGCATGCTGTGCCAAGCCGCCGGACTTGAGGATGAGGTTGGAAGGAATTGGCTCGAGCTCTCTCGAACCTGTCGCAAGGCTGGGCACTGCCAGGCTGCCACCAGAGCTGTGCTGCAGGCTCGGGCGCTGGGAGCAGCAGGTTCAGAAGTGGAGGCAGCCAAGGTGTTGTGGGCGTCAGGCCGAGAGTACCAGGCCACCCAGGAGCTGCAGAAATTCTTAACCGTTGCTGAAGCTGCTCGTAACGGGGATGAGAACGGAGCAGCAGGGCGAGGAGGAAGCGGGGCTGGTGGAAGAGCAGGGGAGGGGGCACGAGAAGCGCATGATTCGTGGCAGGTGGCACGGGCTCTCGTGCTGCTGGCCCGCTGGTCCCACGAGACGCGGCAGAAGCAGACAGCGGACGTGGTACGGCTGTACGAGCGGGCGGCGGAGCTGCAGGCGGAGTGGGAGAAGCCCTTCTTCTTCCTCGCGCGCTACTTTGACGACCTGCTGGGCGACGCACAGAGGCGGCAGGACGTCGACGGGGGAGCTGCAGCAGCGGCAGGAGCAGCAGGGGGAGGAGGAGGTAAGGGAAGGGCCGGGAATGGGGCAGGCGGTGGGAGGGGCAGGAGCAGCATGGGCACGGGCGGTGTGTGTGGCAGCAGCGGTGCGGCGGTGCGGCTAGGCGTGGAGGAGGGGCCGTGGTGGCAGCACGTGCACGAGGCGCTGCTGTGCTACTCCAAGGCGCTGCACCGCGGCACAACCTTCCTCCACCACGCCCTGCCGCGCCTCCTCACTCTCTGGTTCGACTTCGGCGGCCGCTTCCAAGACAGCAGTGTGAGGGGCGACCCTGTGCTCAAGGCAGAGAGCGCGCGCGTGCACGCACTCATGGCGGACTGCATTGCGTCGCTGCCATCCGCGCACTGGCTGGCGGCGCTGCCGCAGCTCACCTCGCGCATCTGCCACCCCAACCCTGCCGTGCGCTCGCTGCTCAAGGCGCTGCTCGTGCGCCTGCTGACAGCACACCCGCACCCCACGCTCTGGACGCTCACAGCTGTATGCAAGTCCGCCGTGCCCGCCCGCCGCGACGCCGCCAACGACGTTGTGGCCGGGGCCAAGGCGGCAGCGAGGGAGGAGGGCGGTGCTGCCGGCACAAGTCTCCTGGCTCTCATCGCAGAAGTAAGGGACAGTCTCGCATGCTCACTCAAGTTCCAGATTTTGTCGTCGGTTCGTCAGTGTTTCTGTGACGCCACCACATGCAGTGTCACGACCCTGCACCCGATCTCATCTCATGACCGCCGCCACACGTGCCTCTCAGCCGCGCCCACCCTCTCTTTCCCCTCGTCCTACCCCCCCCTGTACCGCCCAGTTCGCCTCGTTCTCGGACGCCATGAGCCGCCTGTGCTTCCATGGCAGCGGCACGTCGTCCGGCCCCCGAGTGCGCGCGCTGAGCATCTCGTCCGACTTCAGCGCGCTCAAGCGCTCCATGCCGCTCGCTGTCGCTCTGCCCACGCAGGCCGTGCTCGCTGCCGCCCATGCCAGCACCAGTGCTGCTGGCGCTGGCAGCGGCGGCGGTGGGGAGGGCGAGTGTGTGAGCATCTGCGGCATAGCGGACGAGGTGGAGGTGCTGCAGTCGCTGCAGCGACCCAAGAAGGTGGGGCATGCGCGCTGCGGGCACGCCAGAAGATGGTGTGAAGATGGGTCGCTCCATCTCCTTCCCCCGCTTCCCCTCTCTGGCCTCCTCCTCTTTGGACTTTCTTCTCTCCCATCACCTCCATCTCCACACTGCTCCTTCTTGACTCCTCCCCTATCACTCGCTCCCCTTGCATTCCCTCCCCCTCCCAGGTGGTGCTGGTGGGCAGTGACGGGCGGCGGTACCCGTTCCTGTGCAAGCCCAAGGACGACCTGCGCAAGGACGCGCGCATGATGGACCTCGCCGCGCTGCTCAACCGCCTGCTTGCGCGCGCAGGGGAGGGCCGGCGCCGCGCGCTGCGCCTGAGGACGTTTGCAGTGCTGCCGCTGACGGAGGACTGCGGCATGGTGGAGTGGGTGCCGCACACCCGCGGCTTCCGCCACGTCATGCAGGTGGGGGGGAAGCCATGCCACGCAGGCAATGGGGCATGACATGCCTATGTGGGGGGGGATTGTACGCAGGCGAGGGGGGCATGTTACGCTGATGGGGGCATGGCATACTGATGGGCGCAGGGCATGCTGATGGGGCAATGTCATGATACGCTGATGGGCGCATGGCATGCTTGTTGTTCCCCTAACCCGAGTTTTCCAGTTTTTGCTCAAGTGAGCCGTTTGTGCCCATGCTGACTGTTGCCATTGTCAGTGGCGGCGTGGGTGCATGCTGGGTGCAGCCCGTGTGCGGGCGCGCCCTTCACCCCACGTGCGTGCGTGACTTCATGTCCGCCCAACCATTTCATTGCCTTCGCAATCTCACCATCACAGCAACCCGTGCGCGCCACGGCTGCCTGTAATGTCATGTGGAGAGTCGTCAATAGCAACACTTAGAGTTGCCCCTTGTGCGTCATGGATGGACCCTTCCTTTGTGCTTGCTATCAGGGCATTCGACCCCTTCCCTGCCGTGCCAATGCCCGTTTTGGTGTGGTTTTGTCAGTCTGGCAATAGCCTTCAGGCACACCAAGTTTGCACCAGCACACATTGCTTTCACTCGTCTCCACCACGCGTGGTATACCGCCCCTCACCTATTCCACTATTCCCTGTCCCCACCCGCGACCCCCCTCCCCACAGGACCTGTACGCAGCGCACGGGCTCTTTGACCGGGCGAGGACGCTGGGGCAGGTGAAGCGGCTGTACGACCAGCGTGCGGCGGCGGGGCACAGCGAGGCGGACCTGCTGCGGCGCCACGTGCTACCGCTCTTCCCACCGCTCTTCCATTGCTGGTTTCTGCAGGCGTTCCCCGACCCGTCGGCGTGGGTGGCGGCGCGCGCGGTGTTCACGCGCAGCTGCGCGGTGTGGTCCATGGCGGGGCATGTGGTGGGGCTGGGCGACCGGCACGGCGAGAACCTGCTGGTGGACGCGGCGAGCGGCGAGTGCGTGCACGTGGACTTCAGCTGCCTCTTCGACAAGGGCCTGCAGCTTCAGCAGCCCGAACTCGTGCCCTTCCGCCTCACGCAGGTGCGCACCCGCGCCGCATGTCCCTTCCCAGGGGGCGGAACGGAGGGAGGATGGGGGGTTGTGTCATGTGGTGGTATGACAGGGTTGGGTGGATACAACGGCGAGTCATGGTTATTGGCCGGGCCGTTGTTGGATGGTTGGGTTGTGATCTCCTTGCCTCTGGAGTGCAAGCATGGTCACCTCGCTTGCACGACCGCTGGTATGTGCTGCCGATTGGCTGTGTGCACGAGAGCACACACTTGCACGGGAGCACTCGCACAGGCACTTTGTGTCATCCCATCCAACGCATTCCCCATCCACCCGTGGCGTGTGCGTGCGTGCATGTCCCCCTTGCTGCGCGCAGAACATGGTGGACGGGTTTGGCATCAGTGGGTGCGAGGGCATGTTCCGCCGCACGGCGGAGATCACTCTCGGGCTACTGCGCTGCCACCGCTCCGCGCTCATGTCCGTGCTGCAGACCTTCCTGCACGACCCCCTCGTCGAGTGGACCAAGCCCCACCGCTCCTCCTCCGCTGCTGCTGCTGCCGCTGCCGCCGCTGCTGCCGCTGCTGCAGCTTCCGGTGCTGGTGGTGGCGTAGCTATGGGCACAGGAGAGATTCAGAATCCCTATGCACAGGTGCGCATGCGAGACACACCCTGAAACATATGGGATATGGCCGTGTGCGATGCTGGGATGGAGGCTGTATCTCTGTGTGCATGGGGCAGCCTGAGACCCTCAGACGCACTTCCGTGTGTTCGCACCTGCCTTGCCTTCTTGCTTTCTCCCACTCACTTGCGCCCTTCCCTTCCCAAGTTCGCCTCCCTGGTTTCTCAAGTCTCCTTCCTTCAGTTGCCTCCCATCGTCCAACTGAGCTGCAAGAGGATGTGGCGGTGCTCATTGCAACTCCATTCCCCCTCCTCTCAACTTCTCCCCCCTTTCTTCTGCATTGCCCTCATTCCCCCTTTCCTCCAGAGAGCTCTGTCAAACATTGACTCGCGGCTGCAGGGTGTGGTAGTGGGTGTGGCGGCGGCGCCATCACTGCCACTGTCAGTGGAGGGCCAGGCGGACTGCCTCATTCAGCAGGCCACCTCGATTGACAACCTCTCCCGCATGTACATATGGTGGATGCCTTGGTTCTGATGTGCTGGATATGACACAAATGTCAAATAAAGGAGTGTTAATGGTGTTTCGAAGCGGGATGAAGATGACTCATGGAACCAGTACTGTACGGTGTAAGCGTTGGAATCATGTTTCAGTGCGGTTCACTTTGGTTCTGCGCAAGTCTGATCCTGATCCCAGTGCGTAGGAATATGCCGTAAGTCTCAGAGTAACGAATGAACTAGAATGAGTGATACAGGGTGGTTTTGGCCTAAGGTGTTGTACTCTCTATGAGCAAGCACCTATCTAGCCTATAACATATACAAATATATGTTGACACCCCCTAGGCTAGGAAAGGAGTAACGACTAGCACGAGACATGCAGCTCAGGGTGGCACTATTAGTCCAACCTCTTGTTGTGATATATGAAGTTTTGCATTCCTGCAAGTTCCGTTTTTGGTGTAGCTAGCAGTATCGAGTTTCTCAGTAAGCAACGATGCCCGAGTGCTAATATCAGCAAAGCATCGCGGGTCTCGGGGATGACGTCAGCATACCGCTTCAGTTACGCGAATAGGCGTAATGAGTCGTTTCAGTCACGCGAACAGTCGCGACTGTAAGGAATTAACATTCCTTACTGCGCTGAACTACAGCGCGTACACCCGAAGACCTCGCACTCGCAGGTTCGGCCATTATTGTCGGCCCAAACCTTCCCGAGTCGCGTTCCGACACCCTCGACACCCAACCAAACCATCCACGTCCCGAGGTCCTCGCCCTAGCTCGTCCTAGCACGTCCGTGCCCTATTTTAGCCAGTTCGCTCGTCACTTGTGGAGGGAGGATTTTTCTGAGGTCCTATTCCCATTATTGAGTGGCTGTTCTATTCCCACTCATAACATCTGGTATTAGAGCACTTTCTTAGGCTAGTCGCTTCCGCCTGCCCGAGATTTTTTTTCGGGGGGGGGGGGGAAAGGAGGGATGGCTGGAGGGCCTTAGGCTGCACAGCGGTTGTCCAGAAGCTAGATATGATTAGCTCCTACAACTACGATAGCGTGTGCGCCCCTACGTCACTCGATCCCTGCCTTTGGACGACGTGGATTCGTCGTGCCCCGCCCTCCCCCCGGGAACGGACAGCTGTGTCTGTCGCGAGTTTTTGCCACGTAATTTTAGTGGCGTTCATTTCAAATGTTTGGAGCGGCAACTGGCGTCGTCGTTACGCGGCGAGAGAATTCTCGAGACGTCTCGCGCAGACTTCATCAGCGGCTCGCGAAAATTGCGAGGCTCGCCTCGTGGGAAAACAACAGCTGTGGACCTCGCCAGGCGCACGAGGAATGTGCGTCAGGGATTATCCTGACGAAGCGAGACGACACGTGCCAGCTACCCGAATTATGCGGGAGTGGTGTGTTGTCCCGTCCGGACTGGAGCGGATTGCTGCCAGGTGGGCGCGTCAGCATAACTTCCGGCAGGAGCGACGCAGCGTGGGACGGCGTGTGCCGTTAACTTCTGAAAAGTTCGGAGTCGGCCACCTTCGTGCCAACTGTTTCTGCAGTATCGGCGGCGGCTGTTCCTGGCACCCGATAAAATCGGCACCGACAATTGCGGATGTCGTGGACGATCTTCACGCCAAGCAGCTTTCCCAGAAAACGACAGTGGCGCCTGCGTTTTTCTAGGGAAACAGCCTTGGAGACAGGCCAGCGCCCCAGGAAACAACTTCTCTGGTGCATCGTTTAGTGCCCGCGATTTTCGGGGGTTTCTACCGGTAAAACGTACGGAGATGCGACAGACCAGGTTGGATGAGAGGGGAACTTTGACACTTCAGGAAGAGCAGGGCAGCGTAGCGGAAATCTCCAGCTGAGTGCCCCCGCGTTGGGCTAAGCGGCGGTAGCAGAATGGCCACCTACCGGCCGAGACTTTCCAACGGCTCACATCTTCCACACCAGGTTCCAAGTTCAGGTTTAATACTACTCCGACGGTCCTGGACGAATAACGTGGACAGAGCTGCGGTTAACCTGTGCTGGTTAAAATGCGGGAGTACCGTGGGTTCGACAGTAAAAAAAAAAAAAAAAAAAAAAGGGGGAGTTTGTGTGCTCGGCGCACGTGCGTTTTTGGTCTGACCGACGAAAGCGGGGAGTTGGGTGACCGACGACCTGCCGAGATTGTCGGGGCAACTGCAACAACACTGTTCCAGCTGGAGTTCGACACTGTGTCCGAAGTTTTCGGAGTGCGGCGGAGCTTTCGGGAGTCGTCCCTGGTTAAAGGGGCTACTTGCCAAGGCACAAAAGCCTCGGACCTGTTTTGGTGTTATGGCGGGCGCAATGACGGGTGAGAGTCAGCGCGCTGCTCAACGCCCGGTGCCAAACGGGGACTTCTTCGGGAACCAGCGGCGCAGCTGTTAAGCACCAGCAGCATGGGTGTACCTGCGTAGAGGCGCAGCAGAGTATGGGAGACGCTAAGTTCAGCGGCATGTCGTGCAGTCTACCCGACGAACTGGGTCGCCCTTCATGTTCACAGCTTGGCATCGTCTCCGACGTTTACGGGTTTTACGATGCAGCGTTGCAGCTGGTTTCCGGGCAGTGGTCCCTGGGTTTCCGATAAAACCGCGTATGTGGTACCCTATATCTTCAGGGGTACGAACGACATCGCCCTAAAGTCCCGGACTGGTTTAACTATATGGCGAGAAATTCGAGTGGAGGTCATTTGGCCCTTGACGAAATTTTCGGCGTGTACGGACAACAAGGTTGATGCAGCTGGCGTTATTTGACCTCGGGGTCAGCTCGCGGTGTTCAATGGCGTTTTCTAATACAGGTTACCTCCCTTCGCCATCGTCGTCAATCTCTCGCCAACACCCGCTACCACCTCCATCCTCCATTCGCTTACGTTCGCTCGCCTGTGTAAACATGACCGTCCGCGCCATTTGCCATCCACCCAGAGCCATATCGCATAGTGCAGATTTGGAGGAGTACTGTTGGAGCTGTGTTGAGGCCAGCTCGCCAGCAGTGTTTTGACTCGTGCAGAATATTTGCAGCGGATTGGGGTCTTCTGGAGCAGTTGTCGCTGATTTTCAGGACATCAGAAGCGGTTGCCCTGCAGCAGAATTTTCTTTTGGAGCAGTTTGGATGTTCTACCGGTTGTAGTTCTTCACGCCTACTCGCAGCAGAGTTGCTGGATTTTTACGTCGCGGTGTGGGTTTACTTTGCCTACCCTGGAGTTTTCCTTGGCTCGTTGGGAGCTGTTTCTTCTTAAAGGGGGGGAAAAGTGCAGCTGTGCTGCAAACTTTTGATGACCCCTCCGGCGTGTCCTATTATCCATCGCCGCCCGACATGCGTGTCAGTTACGCTACCTCGTTGAAGTTCATCTATTCGTTGATGGAGTTCGCTGACTTCCACTGCCACGAACGCGCGCGTGTGCTTGTATGTGTCACGAACGACCTCGCGACTTGATGAACGGTCCCTTCCAGCCCGAAAAACAATCGGCCACGTCCTCCCTCATGTCATCATTTCCTCAGCCACGCGTCCTCACCAACAGCCAGCTTGACCGTTTACAATTTCAAAAGGAGTTTTCGCCAGTACCCCTTCGGTCAGCTGAAGAATTCGACAATCTTCGACGACCAAGATTAAAAGCGATCGTTTCGACGTTTTCTAGCCATCGATCACATTTCAACCTGAAGACCTCGTCAGGACGGCGTAATCATTACGCTCGTCATTGTGCTGAAGACCTACAATCACATCGGGGATTACTTTTCATGATTCGACCTTCGATATACGAAAGGCCTTATCTAGAAGGTGGGAGAGTGTAAGGAATTAACATTCCTTACTGCGCTGAACTACAGCGCGTACACCCGACGACCTCGCACTCGCAGGTTCGGCCGTTATTGTCGGCCCAAACCTTCCCGAGTCGCGTTCCGACACCCTCGACACCCAACCAAACCATCCACGTCCCGAGGTCCTCGCCCTAGCTCGTCCTAGCACGTCCGTGCCCTATTTTAGCCAGTTCGCTCGTCACTTGTGGAGGGAGGATTTTTCTGAGGTCCTATTCCCATTATTGAGTGGCTGTTCTATTCCCACTCATAACAGCGACCCTATAGAATGACGAGTAGGTCGCATAGCGCGCAACTAGCCGAACAGGTACTTTCCCTAGAGCTATAAATCCTTGTAATGCCTTTCTATTAACCTTGACTTTCCACAGAATTATGTGCTCAGGTTATTCAACCTTCGACTACCCACAAGTTCATGTGCTCAGGTTCATTCTTATAAGACTTCCGCTGTCTTACTAGTCTACCATTCCATAATTACGATCCTTACAAGTACTATCGAATAGTAGAGATACTACTATACCCAAGGCTTGACTCAAGCAGATTCTATACTTTGTCTTCCTGCAAGTCGAGCACCAGCAATCAAAATCTTTCACGGTTTGAGAGCAGTCTGGAATTAAGACTCTTGTCAATCATGACTGGACCATCGTCAGCCCCATCTTTTGGTTCCTCAACAACTGGACCTACGGCAGGGCTGACGTTTCAAAAAAAGGCACTCTGATTTTACCCCCCCAAAATCTTCCCAAGTCCGAGGGGCCATTTTTAAAAAATTCCCGAGTCTGAAATCTCAGTATCCAAAAGTCGACTAGTCTGAAGTTCTCAGGGTTCAGAATGTCCATTCAGGGTCCACGCGCCAAAGTCGAAGACTCGTTTTTCAGAGGTCAGATGCAACTTGGTAGCTTTGCAAACGTTAGTGGTAGAGAGCTCGTTGTCAGGGTAGTTTTCTTAGAACTGAATAATAAAGAATTAGAGAACCTATGTACAAGGAAATATATCTAAGGGTTGTACCCTCTAAGAGGCCACCCTATACAGTCTATACAAACATTACAGATTACACATGTTTGACACACCCCCTAGACTGCATAGGGGCAGTTCCTGAACAAGCAGCTCAGGGCGGCACTACTAGTCGAGCCACTGAGACAAGGGTCTAAAGACCAGTCAAAAGGAGTACAGGCAAGGCAAGAACAAGACCAGGGCAACACTACTAGTCCAGCCACTGGGAGAGGACACAAGTCCAGTCTGAATAAATATATATAAAGGACAGTACAAAGTCAAGGCCCTAGCAAGTGAGAGGCTACAGGAATTAGACCGAGCTGTACACAGTGCCGCTGATGATCTTTAGGCGCAAGCGCCTTAGTAAAGATATCAGCAGTGTTGGCACCTGAGGCCAAGTGTACTACGCGAGCCTGGCGGCGCTGCTGTAGCTCGCGCAGGAGGAAGTACCGCGGCTGGATATGCTTCGCTCTGCC